AAGTTCAACATAAGTTTTGGAGGCAACAGTAAAACCATAGCACTGTTCTATCCCTACAACACGCTAATCAGTAAGAGTAACTTATTGGTTTCACACTTAAAAAGAAGAAAAAATAACAAAAATCACCATCAGCAATTTAAAATAATTAAAGAAATACATTAGTTAGCATCTTTAATGGCAAGACACTGAACCTATTTGAAAGAGGAGTCCATTTTCTAAGTAAAGAAAGGCTGTATAGGCCAACTTCAGAAAAACTTAGTTCAATTGTCAGGTATCTCATCCTCATTGTGTGTGAGTATACTTGCTTTAAGTTTGTTATAAGTCCCTGTAGAAATAGTCCACCACCTCAAAACAAAACAAAAACATAAACTCTGTAGTTTGCCAGATGTATAGTAAGGCTATACCAACCCCATTTACTGCACTAGACTAAATATTTACTGTGAACAAGAAAACAGATAAGAAGAGTATAGTATTAAATATTTATGCTCTAATTTGTTTTGTAAATAGTTTTGCTGTAATTAATGGTGATCTGACACTCAATTCTTGTGGGAGGCATAAAGTGATAATAGCTACTTTTCAATAGGCACAGACTTGTTTATACCAAAAAAAAAAAAAAAAAAAAAAAAAAAAAAAAAAACCCAGGTATATATCCTAAATTTTGCTCACTTGAATTGGGAACTTTTCTATAGATTCTTTTTTTTTAATTTCTCAGGTGAAAAAAATTTCCAGCCAGTCACTCATAACTCAATTATGCTATAGATTGCTTGAACTCTACAGAGTACAAAGGACACTCTTCAGGCCCTCAGATTCCCAACATGTGTGGTTTCCTCCACAGAGAAGTTTGGATCTCTGCCGAAGGGCACTGAGCCAATGCAAACCATGTGGATCTAAACACTGCTAAAGTACCACATCTTGACACTTACTTGCTACTGTGAGTACCTTTTAGCACCAGAGTGATTTATATAAATTGAAATGGTGAATACCTACACAAATATAATTTTACCTGTGTCTAATAACCTTTATGAATCCACTTTATAAAGATACAAAGAAATACACTTATGTAGAAATTTTTATATTTTATAATGTATTCAAATAACCATTTATTTCAACATCGTAAGAGAAATGGATATTTCATAAACATTTACTTTATTAAATATTAGAACATTTTAAACATGGAATATTGCCAAAGAGAGATTTGCTTAAAATAGTCACAGGAGGAAGTTATGCTATCAGAATTTATTTTAAGGAATGATCTAATACCCTAAGTTCAGATAAATGGACTTTTTCTTCCAATCCCTGAAGGCAAAACAAGAACAAATTCCCTTACATGTATGAATTGCTTTTTGCTATTATAATAAAATGGAGACATATTTGGAAAAATGTCTTTTATGCTATGTAATATCTCTTAAAGTAAAACTGCAACTGAGATTCTTCTTTGGTCTTTTCATAAAAATAATCATTACTTGCTAAAATATTTGCTGATGAGTGAAGATATTACTTGATATTATCAATAGGGCATCCTGGGAAAAGGAGTCATTTAAAAAATAAAATTCCCAAAGAAAAAAGTACATCCTTAAGAAGTGGAATGGACCCAACCATGGTGATATGGGCAATAGAAAGTTGCTGCGCTATACTATTCAGAAAACTATCGATCCCAAATCAGGAATTCTTACATCTGCCAGCCAGTGCTGTGGTGGGTAAGGCAGCTAGATCCCACATGGCCAACTACCTGGTTTCAGTCTCTATTAGGTGTCTTGAAAAGCATACCAGGAACATGTGTATGCATGCCCAAAATCCTGAGGGGAGAATGAAGAAGAGATTATGGCATGGCTATCTCCCCTGGGGAGAGCTGTCTCTCTCTCTCTCTCTCCCCTCTTTCCAGTGAGCACATGCACCCCATAGTAAATATTTTTTAAAGAGAATTCTTGTCCAGTTCACCTTACTTCAGGGAAATTGGAATGATAGGTTATATTGTATGTATACTCAATTTTTATATTTTCTAGGCTCTAAGCAGAAAGAGGGAAAACCTCGTTCTGCTATGCAAACCACATCTTACATATTTTAGCTGTCTGTTTCTCTCTGATTGCATGTCAATGGTACATACAATGGAGGAATTATTTTGTGTCTTAGTACCACAATATCTGTGAAACTTATTAAACTTCATTTGGCCTTTGTTATAGCTACTGTTATCTAGTCAGTTGTTTTCCTATTTTATTAGATAATACAGTTATAAAATACCTAGGGCTTGAAAGCAGATAACAGGTTTTATATTTTTCTAAGTAACTATTACTAAAACGTTAAGCATTATCCATTCATGTTTGTCTTAATTTTTAAAGTTAAAATTTTGATTTGAGGAACCAGCAGATGGCATAATGGCTACGTCACTGGACTCCCATGTAGTCAAGAGCAGTTCAAGTTCCATACCTGGTGGCTTAAACTCATGCTGGGCATATGTGCGTGTGCCCAAGATCCCCAGAGGAATATGGAAGAGAAGGGATTGAGGGGTAGCCGTCTCCCCTGAGGGGTGATTTCTTGTTTTCTGTCTCTGTCTTTCTGGTGAGCGCATGCGCCCTATAGTAAAAACTTCTCAAAGAAATATTTTTTTTTGTTTGAGATGGTTTTTTTCCATGTGTTTTGATAGAACCCTATGCAGGTTGAGGTACTGCCTAAAATAATGAGCTAGCCAGACTACGGAAGTACTCTGTATTTTGTAACATAAACTTTGGGTTAATATTTTTTTTACTGTTAATAAATGTATATCCTATTGATACACTTAAAAAAGAAAGAAGCCCTTGGATTAGTTTCTTGGGTAGATCTAAACCTCCCTGGGAGTGTGCCTGTGGGTGCACCATGACCCTGGTTGGCTGAACAGCTAGGAGGTGGATCCTAGCACAAGATCCTGTGAGGAGTCCCTGTCTCTCTCAATAAATAAATTAACTTAAAAAGAACAAATAGGTGTACAATATCATTATAGAGGGTGAGTTTTCCCAATTCTATCATATAATCAACTGCTTATTTCACCTTATTCTAAACAATAACCAAGCTACAGGATAACTATAATCTTTTGAAAAAAAAAGAGTGCTTAGAATTTTTAAGTGCATTTGGATTAACAGAAGACAAGGACAACTATTCAGAATATTGTAGTCTTCATATTTGTTCTAGAAACACAGATTACATATAATGCATTCATACGTATTTGCATTCAGAGATTGTTTATTTCTTTATCAAGTTTGAACACTATAAAAATAACTTCCTTTCATCTGGTAGACTTCAAAAATGTGTGGAATTCCTTAAAAATAAAATAATTAAAAATAAAAAATAATTTTTCTAATGCAGTGACCAATTAAGTAATATTAACACATATAAAGATAAATATTTTGGCCCAACTTTGGTAGCATAGGCAGTAGAACACCACCCTGCAATGGTGAAGCCACATGGAAAACCTGGTTTGGGTCTCAAGTCAACCCAAAGCACACCAGATATGTACACGCACATCTATGGTCCTAGCAGTCTGGAAGGTTAGGGGATAGCTCTGTGATGAGATCCCTGCTTATAGTGTCTGTTGTTTTTCTGTTTTGTTTTGTTTTTCTCTCTCTCATTGTTTCTCTCTTGGAAGAAATTAAATAAACTTTTAAAAATTTTGCCTATTTAAACTATTGCCTTAAGATTTGATTATACTCTACTGAGAAAATAGATATTTAGTTATTAAATGCATCTCAGAATTGAATGGTTATGATAAAGTGGTTATTAAGCTTCAAAGTTTCAAGGACCTAGAATGATCTTTAACTCTTTAAACAGAAAAATGTCAACATGGGGAACTATTGACCTAAACTTCCCAATGTCTCCTATTGAAAAAGTAGATAAAAAGAGAAATGGACTTCTGAAAAAGATTAAAAAAAAAAAAAAACACACACATAAAAAACACCATGAAACAATAGAAGATGCCTAATTGTGCCAAATAGGGCCATATATTAAGTCTTCTCATTGATAATTCATGGAATCCTGTCTAGATATTTTTCTCTGCTTACATGACATTATTTGTTAAAGTACGAGTTAATAATAATTCATAAGGCCTAAAGAACAGCACCTTTTCCTTCGAGCTTAGCACTGCTAGTTGAAAATGAAGAATATGGTAGCAATTACCTTTTAGATTTTAAATAACTGTTATGTATTCCTTTTTAGAGATAAGATCATTAATGTGCTTATAATTGGAGTGTTATTAATCTTCACTAGCCTAGAGAGATTGTGAGATACCTGTTCGAATGTGAAACAAGAGTGTGGAGAAAACAATATGGTATTAAATGCTACATGCTAAATGCTAAATGCTAAATTAATTTTTTTTTAATTTTACAGTTAGTATAGATGTATATATTAAATCTTGACAAACAGCTCACTTGCCATTTCTTCAGTCCAAATCTTTGAACTTCTACTGTGTAGCCTAGTACATATTAACTAATTGCTATGCCTTTCATTCATATTTTCAGAAATTTTAGTATTATATTAATTCATTCTTTTTTTATTCATCCTTTTTTAAAAATTTATTTATGTTTTAGGTTTTTTGTCATAGGATGTGTGCACTCACCGAAAAGAGAGAGACAGCAAAAGAGAAATGAGAAATCACTCTCCAGGGGGATGGCCACACTGCAATCCCTTCTCCTTCCTTGTCTTCCTGAAATTTTGGGCATGCTTATACACATGCTCAGCATAATTTTCAAGCCTCCAGGTCCGGGACCCAAACCACCATTAACCACATGAGAGTTCAGCACTTTAACCATCACCATTTGGTAGCCCTGTCATTTACTCTTAATGAAGAACATGCATATGTACTAAATCTATGTAAATCCAAAACGTATAGCAGAGACAATATGTTCTTTTAATATGTTCTTTTTTGACATGTAAATGATCTACTGCATTTGACATTGAGTCATTTAAAACAAGACAAAACGGAAAACAGATGAAAATATATGAATCCAATCCATCGTACATATAAATAGACTAACCTTTTTAAAATTTTTATTTAAGTCGACCAGGCTGAGCAGGAAGATGTGGTCCTTGACTCCCAGGAGCAGCCTGCTCCTCTCCTCATCTAACAGAAGAGTTTGGAAATCCAGTCCTTCTGATGAACCCAAAAAGGGAATACAGCTATTTGACAGTAGCAAATCTAAGAGAAAGTAAAAGAAAAAAAGAAAGAAAAGTTCTTAAGCCAAATGTTTATTCACTTCAATGTGTATATTGTCCCACTTTATATGTATATGTACAGCACGAAACTTCCAATTTATATATATGTGAACAATTTCAATTTTTAACATACACTCCTTCAGAAAAAGATACAAGATGTATTTGTATTTTATTAACACAATATTTATGTATAAAATATGTTAAGATAAATACACGCATGTAAAAATACAGAAACAAGTAAATGCAAATATTTTACAATTTGGTGTTTATATTTAAATTACAATTTAAAACATCTACTTCTAGTAATATTTGCAAACTGATAAAATTGATATATGCAAAGCAAACATCAATGATATGTGTCATAAATCACATGACATTTCTTCCCCTCATACTTTTATAATATAGACTTCATTTTTTGGAGCAGTTTTAGATCCACAGCAAAATTGAGAAAAAGATACAGTGATTTCCTATATTCTCTCCTGTCTTCATACTCCATACATGCATAGCCTCCCTCATTATCAACATACTCCATACTCATACTCCATACATGCATAGCCTCCCTCATTATCAACATCCCCCATCATGATGGCTTATTTGTCCATCTATTGACCTACATCGACATACCATTGTCACCCAAAGACCATAGTTTACATTATAGTTCAACCTTGGTGTGGACATTGGATGAGGCTGGATAAGTGTATGTTGGCAAGTACCCATCACTGTAGCATCAGGTAGTTTCATAGCCCCTAACAATCCTTTGTTCTCTTCCTATTCTTCCTTCTTCCCTAGTGATAACTCATCTTTTAATTGTCTCCACTCTTTCACCTTTTCCAAAATGTCATATAGCTGTAAACATTCCATGTGGACTCTTTTTTGGAAATTATGAATCAAACAGATATAAATAACTGTGAGCCTATTTTTGTGTGGACATAAGTTTTCAACTTCTTTGGTTAAATACCAAGGAGCATGATTATTGACTTTCATATTTAGTTTTACCAAACTGCCTTGCAAAGAGACTGTATCTTTTTTCATTCTTGCAAGCAATAAATAAAAATTTCTGTTGTTCCATATATCTGCCAGCCTCTGGTGTCATCAGTGTTCTGGATTTTCATCATTCCATTAGGTGTGCAGTGATAGCTTATTGTTCCTTTAATTTGCATTTCCCTGAACACATCTGATGTGGAGCATATTTGCATTCCTTGTTTGCCATCTGTATATCTTCTTTGCTGAGAAGTCTATAAAGGTCTTTGGTTCAATTTTTAAATTGGGACATTTGTTTTATTATTATTGGATTTTAACAGTTATTTTGTATATTTTGGGTAGCAGTTCTTCATCAAATACATCTTTTGCAAATATTTCTTTCCAGTCTATGGATTACATTTTCTCCTTCTTACTTTTGACAGTGTTTAATTTAGATTGAGGTTTGTGTTGAAAGATGACACTGGGGCCAGTTAGTGTCATGGTGGTTAAAATGGCTGGATCCCACATGGTCTACTGCATGGTTCAAGTCTCAGACCCAGAGGCTTGAAAAACATGCCCAGCACATGTGCATGTATGCATGCCCAAAATCCCAAAAAGAGAAATGATGGAGAAGAGATTGTACCCTTCTCCCATGGGCAGTGCTTTTTCACTACCTCCTCTCCACTTCCCCCCTCACCCTCTATGTCTCTCTGGCAAGTGCATAGACTCCAGAAAATTTTTTTAAAAAAGAAGAAAATAAAGAAGCAAGATGACACTGTTTCTATTTCATATTTGCCAAGAAAATGATGTAAACAAAGATGAATCCCAAGCAGAAGGATTCCGACACATAACCTTGAGCCAGTAAAGTAATCAGAATTTTAAAACTGGAAAGGATCTTAAAAAATCAACTAATGGGGGGACCAGCAGTTAGTGTAATGGCTATGTCGCTGAACTCCCATGTAGCTGAACATGGTTCGAATTCCAGACCCGGTGGCTTAAACTCACGCTGGGCATGTGTGTGTGCATGCCCAAGACCCTGAGAGGAGAATGGAGGAGAAGGGTTTGTGGCGTGGACATCCCCCTTTCGGGGGTGACTTCTCACTTTCTATCTCTCTGTCTCTCTCTGTCTTCCTGGTGAGCAAACATGCTCTATAGCAAAAAACCTCTCCAAAAAAGAAAAAAAAATCAACTAATGGGGGCTGGCAGATGGTGTGGTGGTAAGGTGCTAGATTCACACATAGTGGACCATGGTTCAAGTCCTGGACTTACAGGCTTGCTTTCTCACTTTCTCTCTCTCATTCTCCGTCTGGTGAGTATACATGTCCTGTAGCAAATTAAAATAGTAATAATAATGATAAATAAAATTAAATAAAAATAATTCAAATCAAATCAATTAATGTAAATTCATGATTTTATAAATGAAGGTATTTAATTCCAACTGGGTGAAGTCATACGTTCTAAAGTCTTAAAATTATGTGGTGATAAAGCTGAATTAGAGTTTCCATGTCCATTTCTCTTTGGCATTTGTCTATAGATACCAGTTCTTTGTTTACTTATAACTGTAATATGCACAAACTTCTATAAGGAACCCAAATCTTTCCTGCAGATTATATCCAAAGTACTTAAACTATCATCTCATTTTCTACAGTCCTAGAGTATTGAATGCCAATAAGGTAATGGTATTACTCATTAATTAACTATGTTACCAGACTTTAAAACCAATTCACTATTTTAAAGAAAGTCCTAATTAATTGATGAGAAAAATTAAAAGAGATAACATCTTAGATAGAGACATCAATACTTAAAAAAAAATACCATGGCAATTTTAATCTGTAAAATGGAAATTTGAATCCCTTAAGTTTAAAGGCTATATATTTCACCTATGAACTATGGGCTTTACTATTATTTTATATTTTTGAGCATTCTCTTCACTCTTTTTTTTATTTCACAATGAACAAATGTTATTTCTCTGTCACTAACCTAGATTTTTTCTTATTTTTGAGAGGTTTTTGCTATAGTGCACATGTGCTCGCCTGAGAGACAGAGAGATAGAAAGCAAGAAATCACCTCCCAGGGGGATGGTCATACCACAATCCCTTCTCCTTCACTCTTCTCTCGAGATCTTGGGAACACATGCACACACGCCTGGTGTGAGTTTAAGCCACTGGGTCTAGAACTAGAACTGTGGTCGACTATATGAGAATCCTGCAACAAAGCCATTATGCCAAATACTGGTTCCACTAAGCTAGATTTATATCTTAGTTTTAGGAAAGAAAAAAGGGCAGTGTGTTGAAGAAGATATTACACTATGCGAAATCTCAACTGAATGTGATTTTATTGTACATAAATATCTTACTAATATTTATACATAGTGTATTGTATACACTGAATAGAAGTCTGAATAGTATACTGATTGATTATTGTTCTTTTTTGTTGTTGTTGGAAATAGGATGTGTGCACTCATCAGAGAGATACAGAGAGAATCAATGAAAGGGAAAGTAAGAAATTACCCCATAGAAGGGATGGCCATATCACAATCCCTCTTCTTCCATTTTTCCTCTCATGATTTTGGGCATGCATGTACATGCATCCAATATGATTTTCAAACTATCAGATCTAGGATCCAAACCACAATTGGCCATGTGGGAGCCCAGTACCTTAACCACCCTGCCACCTGCTGGGCCCTTGATTTTTTTTTTATGCTAAATATAATTTAATCATTTTCAGACCAGGGACAGAATGGTATAATATTTTTGAGCTACTCCAAATGTAATAAACCTATTTTGCAGGGCCTAACAGTCAACAAACATTCCATAATGATTAAAAAGTAAAACTGAGAAGAATGGAACTAAGAGAATTGCTAAAACAGATATAACCTAAAGCTTTAACAAGAGACTACATTTTACACAAGCCTTCATTCAATCAGATAATTCTGTATCTGCCAAGAGAGTTACCTTATTTAACAAGTACTGAAAGGACAGAATCAAAAGTATGCAACGGAATTTCCAGGAGTATAGTTTGATCTAACTAGTAGAGGAAAGAAATTCATATGACATAAATCCTTATTATTTCAAATGCTCATAAATAATAATCAGTAATTTTAAATCGTGCATTGCAATATTAATTACAAAATGAAATATTACTTAGCAGAATGAGTGAGTGTGAACTTTACTGACCACCAGAGTCATATCCTGGCTTCACAACTCACTAGCTATGTGATCAAGGACAAGTTATTTACCACTCTGTGCCTTAGTTTCCTTACCTGTAAAATGAAGATAATAACAGAAGCTATGTAAAGCCACACTGATGTGAGGAACAGAGTTAATATATTATCAGCATTAGAATAGTACCTGACGGCACCAGCAGTTAGTGTAATGGCTATGTCGACCCATGTTGTCGACCGCGGTTTGAGTCCCGGACCCAGTGGCTTGAACTCACGCCAGGTGTGTGTGCATGTGTGCCCAAGATCCCAAGAGGAGAATGGAGGAGAAGGGACTGCAGTGTGGCCATCTCCCCTAGGGAGTGATTTCTTGCTTTCTATTTCTCTGTCTCTCTCTCTCTGTCTTTCTGGCGAACACATGCACCCTATAGCAAAAACCTCTCCAAAATAAATAAATAAATAAAAGAATAGTACCTGGCACGTAGTAAGTAGCTATCAGCTATTATGGTGATAATGATGACTTTTTAAAAATCTATACAAAATCAAAAAAAAAAATGATAGTATCTGCCAACTTATATTGGTTTCATGATAGTTAAAAAATAACATACGAAGTTCTTAAAATAATATTGATAGTTTTAAAAGTTCAATAACATTATTATTTGAATATAAATATTAAATTCTCCTTTGGGCCAATTAAATTCTAATTGGAAAATATGTTATCTCATCTTCCATTAAGCCAGGATTATAAAGTTGAAAACATTTCTATGTTTTTATGATATCATAACAATATTAAAAAGCTATTTATTCCACAAATATTTATGAGCATCTGGTACATTTCAGGTATTGAAAATGGTGTTAAAGTC